ATTTAATTTATTTGATTATGTGTATAAATTTTACTACAGAGTATATTTTAAAATTTTACATAAAAATTTTTATGAAATTATAAGTGCCATGACATAACTTTAACATGGAGTATTTTATTAAATGCGTTGTGAAAAAAAGCAAAAAAAATTAGTGAACTCTAATACTTTGAATATTGAATAAAAAGATCTCTTCCAAATAGAGAAAGTTGTTCTCTCTCCGTCTAAAATTACACTGTTTCTATTATACATATCGATGACTTATGTTTGTATGCATGTTGACAAAATAGAATATTTTTGTCACATTTTCTAAAAATTTTTATGTAGTTTTCTATTCCTTACTTTTTACTCCCTCCATCCCACTTTAGATTAGAATATTCCCTTTTAAGGAACAGTCAAATCAAATTTTTTTTTCCCAAATTACCCCCCAAATCCCCCCAAATTAAATAGTGTGAATAGTGGATGGCAGAAAAGAAAAGGGGAGGGTAAAAGAGTCAAATCACTATAAAGTTATTGACTTTGTAATCCTTTTTGGGACAAAAATGTGAGAGAATATTATAATATATTTCGGGACGGATGGAGTATTTTATATCGATTCATAAATAAAATAACTTTAAAAATTACAAGATTTTACACGTATTCGAAAAATATAAAATGTGTTAGGGTAGAGGGGATATTTTTCTCCCTCCATCCCAAAAAGAATGTCACATTTCTTTTTTTTTCAATCATCGCGGAAACTTTTGTTTATTTGTATTGTTCATTGTTGATAAAATAAAATATTCTTGACACCTTGTTTCGAATAATTTTTCATCTAATTTTTGAATATGTAAATTTATTTTTTATTTTTATACAAATATTTAAATAAAATGAATAGAATAAATTTGATATATTATCCAATTTTGTGAAATATGGCAAACATTTTGAGATGGAGAGAGTATCTTTTTTTACTAATTTATCAAAAAAAAGAAAAAAAGAGATGAAGTATGACATGCTAACCAAAAGATAGTGCTAGTACAAACGTGGGAAGACGTGTCGTGACAAGGATCGCACAAGGGAAGGAAGAGCCAAAAGTGTGGGTCCCCCAGTGCGACTGTGGGTTTGCCGTATTTTAGTGGCAGTGTCACTGTAACTGGTTCCCCCGAGTTGTCATGTGACTATGTATGTGACCAAGATCCTCATGTATCCTCTTCGAACCAATCTCCATGAATGACTCCTATTTGGTCAAATGTCTCTCTCTTCTTTTTTTTTTACTTTTCAGTTAGTTTCAAAATTACAGAGTGCTTCGAAAATCGCACTCTCGAGTCAGTTGTTTCTTGCACAAAGTTTCAAGGATTGCCGAGCAAAATACTCATTTTCATTTGAACCATGCTTTGCTACCTCACTTACATCCCACTTTTTTTTTTTCAAAATCAAGACTATGTAGTATGGGGCGCATTTCAGAGGTGGTTACCGATTGTCGCGCCTCTCCGTCGTGCCACACTGAGAGTGATGAGGGCGTGACCCCCTCTGGTGCGACTGGCGCCACCGCAGCTACGCTGCATGATTTTCCGCTCTGAACCGTTGATTTACGGGCATATAACTGTTGTAATTATTATGTTCTTTGGATTTTACAAAAATCTATAAATTCTCACATCTTCACTCTATCTCCATCACTCTAATTCTTACTTAAAAAAATAAAAAACGTTTATTAATTTTAAAAGCAAACTGAGTTGGGAAGAAGAAATAACCTGCCACTCGCCATCTGACGATGACGAAATTTCTTCCACGTTCCTATATTGTGTCCAAGCGACAGTGGCAACAATCATCGCAAGTGCAGAAGAAGGCTTGAACCAAGAGAGGAAGTGTTGGGATCGTGTGTACCCTTGCCCCAATCCTACAGTGGTATGATATTCTCCGCTCTAGATCAAGTCTGCACAAATTTGTTTTGAACATCTCCCAAAAGGTCTCATACTAATGAGTTGGGTTAGACCTATTTATTTTGGTCATTCTTCTTCTCCACTTTTGATGTGGGATGGGATTTGTACCTCAACAAACTTCCCCTCAAACCTAGAACACACAATCTCATGACCTCCCTTTTAGCGATTATCCATTTAATCTACACATCATCTTGTCATGCCGCTATAACCTCGTGGGACACGCTGCCCGACCCCCTCTTGCCGCGAAGACTTTCGACACCAGCTAAGGTGTACCACAGATCATCAATCAGCCTAGGTCACAATATTTGACGTGCCAAATCAGTTTGTGTCGTCGTTAACACCAAACGGGACACGCCACCCGACCATGACTTGTAAGGAAGACTTTAGACACAAGGCATCGCTTGCAGACCTTGAGTCATGTTGTCACACCGGGCACACCGAAATCTCCGTGCAACGCAGTCCACTGTTCTTGCTTGCAAGAATTTAGGCTCTGATACCACTTGTTGGGACCGCGTGTACCCTCACCCGAATCCCACATTAAATGGTGTGACTTAACATCGTGGGACTTGCTGCCCAGCCTCCTCTTACTTACTGTGAAGACGTTTGACACAAGCTAAGGTATACCGCAGACCACCAATCTGTTTAGATCTTAACATTTGATCTTTCAAATCATTTTGTACTGCTGTTAACACCAAATGAGACACGCCACTTGACCACGACTTGTCAGGAAGACTTTAGAGATAACACACTGCTTGAAGACCTTCGTTCATATTGTCATACCAGGCACACCGAAAACTCCATGCAACACAATCCATTGTTCCTGCCTGCAAGAACCTAAGCTTTGATACCACATGTTAGCACCACGTATATCCTTGCCCCAATCCCACGTTACCATGATATTGTTTGCTCTGGGCCTAGTTGCACGGATTTGTTTTTTGGACATCTCTCAAAAGGCCTAGCCTCATTCTAGTGAGTTTGGTTAGACCTATTTATTTTTGGTCATTCTTCTTCTCCATTTCCGGTGTGGGATGGGATTTTCACCTCAACAAACCTCCCCTCAAACCTAGAGCACATAATCTCATCACCTTCCTTTCAGCGATTATCCATTTGATCTGCACACCATCTTGTCCTGCCGTTATAACCTCGTGGGACACGCTCCCCGACCTCCTCTTACCGCTAAGACTTTCGGCTCCAGCTAAGGTATACCGCAGATCATCAATCAGCCTAGGTAATAATATTTGATCTGTAAAATCATTTTCTACCATTGTTAACACCAAATGGGACACGTCGCCCGACCATGACTTGTAAGGAAGACTTTAGACAAATGGCATTGCTTGGAGACCTTCGGTCATGTTTTCACATCGGGCACACAGAAAACTTCGTGCAACACGGTTCGTCGTTCCTAGGTGCAAGAAACTACGCTCTCTGATACCAGATATTGGGACCGCGTGTTCCCTCACCTCAATCCCATATTAAATGGTGTGACTTAACATCGTGGGACACGCTGCCCATCTGCTTTTGTCGCGAAAACTTTTGACACAAGCTAAGGTATATCGCAGACCACCAATCTACTTAGGTCATAATATTTGATCTTCCAACTCATTTTGTACCGCCATTAACACCAAGCATGACACGATGCTTGACCACGACTTGTCACGAAGACTTCTAAGACAATGTACCACTTGCGGACCTTTGATCATGTTGTCACACTGGGCACACTGAAAACTCCGTGCAACGCAGTCCACCGTTCTTGCCTGCAAGAACTTAGGCTCCGATGCCACATTTTAGCACCATGTATATCCTCGCCCCAATCCCACATTACTATGATATTGTTCGCTCTGGGCCTAGCTCGCACAGATTAGTTTTTTGGACATCTCTCAAAAGGCCTCATTCTAATGCATTGGGTTAGACCTATTTATTTTGGTCATTCTTCTTCTCCACTTCCAATTTGGGATGGGTTGCACCTCAATAGGAATAACATGTGCGGCTCAACCGAGATCATGCTCGAAGCTTGCGCTCGTCTTATTCAGGGTTACTTTTCTAAATACCCGACTTATAATGACACACTTTTTAGTCGTTGTTTCCGAATGAGCCGCAATTTATTCACATTCATTGTCAAAGATATGAAAGAAAATTTTGTTTTCTTTAGGCAAAGGTTAGACGCCACCAAGACGTCCAAGAGAGTCAGTTTCACGACTTTACAAAAGTGTACGAGTGTGATTTGACAACTAGCCTACGGGACGACAAGCAATCTTTGGGACGAGAGTATTTGAAGATGTCGGACCAAGTTTCCTGTTCAAGCCTTTATCAATTTTGCAAAGGTATTTTTTTTATTAATATTTTGATATTATAAAATTCATGATATTCTAATTCGAATATATATTTCCTTCAAGGTCTCTTCAAGTTGTATAGGTATAGATACTTGCGTAAACCAAATGGAGTGACATACATGAGATATATACGATCCACAAAAATTACACAATTTCTCTGGGAAGCTCAGGCAAGCCTTTATCATTGCCCTAGAATTATTATTATTATTAAATATTACTAGTATTATTTGTTACTACTATTATTATTACTATTGTTATTATTATTTTTATTGTTGTTATTAATGTTGTTATTGTTGTTAAAAGAAGAAAGAAGAAATAAGGTGATGACTTGGAAATGACTTGTAAAGCTGTTAAAATTTTATTGATGAAAACTTTGATCAAGTTAAGGTACTTGAGTGAGAAGAAAGGAAATATAGAAATCAAAATGAAATAATCTTAAAAGTTCGAGCTCTACCATATGCTTAAGAACTTGAGGTTATGAGATTAAATAGATATGACATTAATAGATATGGAAGCTACTCAAAAAATAAAGTTATTGATGTTGATGTCAAAACTCTAATTATGAGTTACTCAAAAAAAAAAAAAAAACTAACTGTGAGATGCAATGCCACAACCGGCTATCTCCTTCCATCCACGAGCATGGAAAGATCAATATGTTCACTTTTTTTTTTTGACTTCGTTCTTACATTCGTAAGAGTTTCTTATTTTTTTCGGTTCAACGCAACGCTAATGGGGCGATTTTGGTCCTCAGTGAATGGTAAGACAAATTGCTTAATTTCTCATCGTGAAATGCGAGTTTCATTCACAACACAATCTTGGTCTCTTGGAAACAACACAAAAAAAGGACATGCTTTCCATGAACAATCAATTGATGGGAAGAGTATTCCATTACTACGCGCTGGGGCTAAAAATGTCATAACATCTGAAGAGGAGAAAATCTAGTAGCTTACAGTAGTTCACCACAATCACTGATGATCACTTTCTTCGTGGGGCGATCCCCCCGGTCCGTTTCCAGCGATTCAATCAGCTTCACCACATCCATGCCCTCAATAACTTGCCCAAACACAACATGTCTCTTATCCAACCATGGTGTCTGCAGTTTGCAAATGCATTAGTGTTAGCACTTTGATTGGGATGAGATGAGAGAGATGTGTGAGGGAGAGAAATAAGGGAGAAATGGGAAAGTTGTCTTGTTTGGTCAAAAGAGAAATAGGGAGAAAAAAAATGAAAAGGGTGTATTCTACCACTAACTTTTTTCTCTTATAGGGAGAAATGTTAAAGTTGTCTTGTTTGGTCAAAAGAGAAATAGAGAGAAAAAAAATGAAAAGGGTGTATTCTACCACTAATTTTTTTCTCTTATAGGGAGAAATAAGGTGATATCTTCTCAATTTCTATCTATTCCATTATCCATTTCTCTCCGACCAAACAACAAGAAAAAACAGCACTATTTCTCTCTTCTCGCTTCCTTCACCGCCCATTTTCCCTATTACTCTGTATTCCCAAGAAAAAACAGCACTATTGGAAAAATGAACGATATACTGCTCCCCACTAAAATCATTAGCATTCTTTACCACATACCTTGACGGTGCATATGAAGAACTGGCTTCCATTTGTGTTGGGGCCCGCATTTGCCATGCTCACAACTCCAGGTCCAACATGAGTCACTGTGTGAATTTGCTCTTGTTAAGGAATGATTAAAATGTTGTGTTTGTGTATGTGTTTGTTTGTGCATAATAATTACATTGCTTGAAACAAATGTACCGATAACACCAAACTTACAGTCAAAGTTTTCATCTTTAAATGTCCGGCCATATATGCTTTTACCACCAGTTCCCTGCACATGAAAGTTCAAGCAGTGAAGATCGGACAAACTTGTATGACGTGACAGGATGATAAATTTTAATGCTTTTAAGTTATTAGTTAAATGATTCATGTTTTTCTGAAAAAATCAATTACACCTTATAATTAAGGACTGGATGGAATACTTTACACATTGACTACATATAGCGGCTAATTTGATGACATTTTTAAATTTAAACAAAACGATTCACTTGAAACGTTGTTTACCTAATACAGAACAGAGTATATGCTAAAACTTGAAAACATCAAATTGCTTGCGGTTTACCCCACAACCCACAATCAATCCTTCATTATCTTTACCAAACGTGCCAATAGAAGTATTCCTAGTAAACACAGAACTTTGAAAGCAAGAAGTGGTTGGAGAAGTGGGCATTATAAAAAACAAAAATTGGAACAAGCAAATATCATTAAGGAATGACACAATATAACAAATTCACCCCTTGGATCATGAATTCCTCGAAGCATGAACTTTTTCTATAGCAAACACTATTTTACTATCTTTCCAAGCATATTCTATAACAATCAATCTAGAAATAGTTTAATTAACATATTAGCATGACAATGGTTAGCAAAATGAGGAAATACATGTACTCCATCCGCCAAGATCTAATTATCCACTTTCAAAATAATACTCCCTCCAGCCGGATCCGGTAGATTAATGAATAATAGTTTCCATAATGAAATTTATTTGCTAACATTTTCCATCACACATTACCTTTCGCGTTTTGTGTTCTCCCTTGGTCCCTTTTATTCTTGTAATGTTAAAAGTAAGTTGGCTGTGAAAGATAAGCATTTGTTCCTTTCTTTTATTGACATCTATTCACCCATTGCCAATGGAGCAAAAGAGTCATTTTGACAATGTTTTAGCTTCTACTACATATTAAACAACAGACAAGACCAAAAGGCACATTAAACTCCTCTTTCTTCTTAGTTATTACTTTCTATGAAGTTTTGGCAAGTAAAATGCAGCACCATCAAGGGTCTAAAGAAAACTACCTTTTTAATTGTGAAAGAATAAACTCCCTCCACCCGGTTCTAATGGTCTACTTTAAAATACCTCATATAAAAGGGATGAGTGTTACATTACATATAACTCATTGTAATTAGTTGATCATCACTAATGACAACAATGTTAATCTAAATTTTACATTATTTGTTTGCTAATAATGAAAAGTGGTCAATTAATTTCAGAAGCCCGGCCTAAAGTGAGAAAGGGGACAACTAACTCCAAATAGAGGAAGTATGTATTCACTTTTTTTAAAAGACACTCCATGTATATGCAACACTAGTAGCGATAGAAGCTATTGCAGAGAATACTACGGAGTATCTTAGAACAGAAGAGAGGAGAGGCAAACAAACAAATAGCATTATAAGTGATATATACATTTCCTTTATCAAAGTCTCCTCCTTGAATCATGAAGTCCTTAATAACACGATGAAAACTCGAGTTTTTGAAGCCAAATCCTTTCTCTCCTGATTGAAAAAACACAGAAAACATGTTTAGAACAACATGCCATTGAACATTAGAAGCGACTCTTTAAAAACAATTAAATGAAAAACCTGTGCATAGAGCGCGGAAATTCTCTGATGTTTCTGGAACCACATCTCCGTACAATCCAATCACAATTCTCCCAGCAGGCTTTCCCACGGGACTCCCTACGCTTATGTCAAGATAAACTTTGGTAGTCACTTTTGCTTGTGGTTCAGCAACCTGGACCTGTAATTGGAAATAATCTTTGGGTTGAACAAGCTAATCCATTAAATTCAATATGGTTTAAACCAAGTTACTTCTGGCCAAGCAGTCAAGTGAACCTAGCAGAATCAAGAAATATATGGGTATACACTTCACAATCAGGTTTATTATAATCTGACGAAATAAAATAAAATAAAATGAAATAACTACAGATTATCTTAAACATAGAGGATTAATATCGGAATTTCATCAACAAGCTAACCTGAGAAATGGCTTGAACAGGAGCAAGTGAGCGGCCGGATTTGATTCGAACGGAGCAATTGGACAAGTTTGTTAGGTTTAATGAGGCTGGAGATAAAGGCGAGAGCGAGTAGGACGAATTGGATCCCCTAAGCTTCGGATACGAAAACACAGAGCTAGAAGCCTTGATTGGAGAGAGATTTCGGGGGAATGAGGGGGAGCTGGAGTTCGCCTGCAAGTAAAGAGATGCATAAAATTGGGCGGGGATTCGGAGACAGAAAGAGCTAAATGAAAATGGAGAGGTTTTGCGAGGAGTTGTGATTTACCAGTGTAGAAAAGGGAAGGGCCGCCATTTCAGCAAGAGATTTCGGATTTCCTTCACTTCTTCTTCAACACTGAGGAGGAGTGAGGAGACTCCAAGGGACCAAGAAAACGCTATTATAAGCGGCGGAGAAGACGAGCGTGAGCTACGGAGTAATTTTTTGTTACACTTCGTATTCCTATTTCATACAAGAAAAAGTTACTCCCCGTCTCGGGTTACAATGGCAACTCACTCCCTCTCTTTAATTTGGAGCATGCTACGTGTATCCCAAAATTTATACACTAAAGGTATGCACCAACATTTTGACAGTTCACACTGATATAAAGTGTTGGTGCGTTAACAAAAATTTACACTGACACAAAATATTGGTGCGTTAACAACAATTAGCATTACACCAACATAGCATCCATGCGGTGTCCAAAAAGGGGACAAATCTGTCACTTCCCTCACTTTGTTTATTTTTGCTCCTGAATCATCGACCGTCAAGAACTCTGAAATTCGAAGAACTCATGGTCGACCGTGGCCCTAACGATTGACCTTTTTGAACCCCAAAATTTTGAAACAATAAGTTCTGAAAAACCAGAGGGAAAAGGTAAGGATCACACCAAAGGTTCAATGCTTCAAGTGTGATCAATATGGGCACTTGGCCTCAAGTTGCCCGCAACACAGGAGAAAGCAAGGTGAGATACATCTGACCGAGGCGAATGAAGATGACTAGCAGCTCTTCATGGTGAAAAGCATTCAAGAATCTGTGCTCTTGAATGAAGATAAGGTGATATCGACCTAGTACTCAACGAATGGTGACATATGGTACCTAGACAATGGACGAGTTGGTGATAGGGTAGGATTTGGGGATAGCTCATGTGTTGAGATATGTGGAAAAGGATCTATTTCGCTAGAAGGGAACAAAGGTGAGCAAAAACTCTTGACTGACATTTAATATAAACCAAGTTTAAGAGAAATATAATAAGTCTTGGTCAAGCAATTGAAATTAGATGTGAAGTGAACATGAAAGGAGATAATCTATAGTTATTCGACACAAACAAAAGGCTGCTTATGAGAGTCCAGAGATCCTCAAACAGGTAGTACAAAACAAAGTTGAAGGTGGAGAAGCCGTTTGCATTCTCAGTTGAATTGTAGAAGACACTTAGTTGTGGCACGCAAGGCTTGGACATGTAAATTCCCAAACCTTGAAGATGATGGCGCAAAAGGAGTTAGCCATTGGGTTACCTCGGCTTGGGCATGTCAACCAACTGTGCAAGTTATGTTTTTTTGGGAAACACACTAGAAGGTCCTTCCCACAATCAACCCAATGCCGGGCAAGTAAAGTTTTGGAGCTTGTCCATGGAGACTTATGTGGGTCGATTACACCTTCAACACTTTTTGAAATTAGGTACATATTTCTCATTATCAATGGTCACTCACGGTTTATGTGGTCTTACGTAATGAAGGAATTAGGAGATGCTTTAAGGTCCTTCAAGGTATTTAAGGAAATGGTTGAGAACGAGACATGTGCCAAGATAAACCCTTTTCAAAAAGACAGGTGTGGGGAATTCACCTCATGTGATTTCAATACCTTGAGCAAAGAAAGTGGAATGGCCGGGCATTTAACCGCTCCACACACACATTAACAGAATGGTGTGGTGGAGAGGTAGAACCGTACTCTCTTCAAAATGACACGAAGCTTACTAAAGGCAAAGGGGGTACGTACATACAACAACATACATAATGGTGTGGTGGAGAGGTGGAACCGTACCCTCCTCAAAATGACACAAAGTTTACTCAAGGCAAAGGGGGTACCTAACTATTTGTGGGGAGAAGCAGTTCGATATGCAACCTATATTCTAAATCAGATTCTCGCAAGAGCATTATCAGAATAGACACTGTATGAAGGGCATCATTGTCAAAGACTAAATATCAGTCACTTAAGGATGTTCAGGTGTGTGGCCTATGCAAAAGTTAATGGATTTGGGATGAAGAAGCTAGATGATCGACCAAGAAAGTTAGTTCATCTAGGACCAAAACCAGGTTCAAAAGCATATCATCTATTTGATCCTTATACTCAAAGACTGATTGTGTCCCGAAATGTAGTATTTAACGAGAAGCCAAGATGGAACTGCGCCAAGGCCAATTGTGAAGATGATCGACATCTAGGTATGTTTTGAGGACAATGGAGTAAAGCAATTGAAACTGGAAATGTTTCAGTCAATGTGGACCAAACTGACATAGAAAAGAATGGAGTTCAACTTGGGTCGAGAGAGATGAATGGAGTTCAAATAGCTCGCAGGATGTTCCACATGAAATTAAAAGTCTATCTAAGACTCAACTCAAGAGGTCCACCCAACAAAAATAACCACCGGCGAAATACAACGACCATGTTTTAAATCTACGGGAAGAATTTGAACTCTTGTCATCATGCAATGAAGATGAACCAAACCATTTTGTTGAAGCTAAATAAAATCCCGAATGGATTAAAGCAATGAAGGAAGAGCTTGAGTTTATAGAAAAGAATGAAACTTAGACTCTAACCAAACTACCAGATGGCGTGAAACTTAATATGCTAAATAAAATCAAAAGGAATGTTGACAGGTTGATAAACAAGTATAAGGCAAGACTCGTGCCAAGAGGCCATGTGCAACAACCTAGAAGTGATTTTGACGAGGTATTTGCCCCGGTTGCTCGACTAGCGATGGTTTGGTTACTTATCTCACTCCCTGCTTCAAAGGGTTGGGAATTGCATATCTTGATGTAAAGTTAGTATTCTTGCATAGATATTTAAAAGAGGAAGTCTTTGTAAGCTATCCGGATGGTTTTATTAAGAAACCAAATATGGTTTACAGACTTTCAAAGGCCCTTTACGAGTTGCGACAGATCCCACGAGCATGGGATAATAAGCTTGATGGTATTCTATGTGATATGAAGTTTCAAAGGTGTGTTAAAGAACGAGTGGCATACCGAAGGGTTATTAAAATTGACTTAATCATAGTTGGTGTGTAGATGATTTGGTTGTAACTGGGTCTAATCTGACGATCATATCCAAGTTCAAGCAAGCTATGACAGAGAAATTTGAAATGTGGTATTTGGGAAAGCTTACGTATTACCTTGGGATAGAAGTGTTGCGAATAGCAAACAAGATACAATCAAACAGGAGGCATATATGAAAACGATTCCGAAAGATGCAGGGATGATAGACCACAATCTAACCTATGTGCCGATGAACCTAGATACTCGGTTAATAAAGGAGGAGGACGATAGTTGTAACGCCACGACCCGGATACCCGAATTTATTCGAATATCCGACTCGCGGTGTTAACGGGTTTAACTTTTTGAATCGGTAGATGGAGCATTAAATAAAACTTTATTTATTTATTGATAATATCGGAGTAACTATTATAAATGCGGAAGCTTAACATATTCGTACAAAATATATATTTCAAAATAACATCTTTATTATGGTTATCGTTCTTTATGGGGGAATTTACTTAAATAGCACTAAAACATAATGACTTTTCCTAAATAGCACCACATGTGTTTTTCTTCCCAATGTAACACTTTTAGTCATTATGCATTAGTCATTATTCAAGTAAATATTCGCCATCACTGGACATTATAGACATTATTAAGTGCTATTTAGGGAATAAAACAATTTAAGTGCTATTTAGGGGAATGACATAAGTTTTAGTGCTATTTAGTGCAAATATTTCTTTTTTATGTCATCTCGTCCATCCTTCCATCGCCTTAGCATTGTCCTCCGGTTCAGTCACTATTCTGTTTGTGTACCTAAAAAAAATGGAGCCAACCCGATCAGCAAAAGCTGAGTGGTACCAATTATAACAATAGGTACAAAACATAATAGCGCAAACATATACTTTTTCTCAAAATTCTTTACTTTGATAATATCAATCATTTTTGTTTCAGTATTCCATAAAGGTGCAATATCCACATATTTGAACTTTTCCTTTACTCTGTTTGTTCTTGTTTAACTGGGACTTCAATTACTTAACGTATAAGGCAAGTCCATTATGTAACTAGGACTTCGAGTACTTAACGTACCCGACTAGTCCATTATGACAAGCTCGTACGCACGGTACGGCAATGGAGGGGTACTGGCATGGTTAACCTTGTGGAACCTCGTGAACCGTAGTTCACATATCAGAAATCGTTTATTAGTTTTGAGAAATATAATTTGTATCTGTATGTGCCTCATTAACTTTTTTTTGGAATCCATATTTCAAATTTAACACATATCATATTTTACTCCATATACGAAATTTAAAATAATACTTAGAGTATTTTATATTTGCTTCAAAGCTATCTTTTTTTTTCTTACTAAAAACTTATTAAAAATTTCCTTAGAATGTAGAGAAGTAGTTTTAGGCATATAATGTAAAAGAATCTTGTCACTTGGAGTTGGTCGTTTCCGGTCACCTTCTCCGACGAGGTAACTTTGTTTTTATGTTCAAAACCCAAATTTTCTTCATTTTATCATCAAAATACTTTTTATAAAACATATATAAATAGTTTGGACGTAAAGATTTGTACAAATTGTATGCAGCTATCGTGACCCATTATCCGGTCGCCTTCTTTAACGGTATTCAAAAATTTGTTTCAAAACTTTATTTTCTATTCGCATGCCCTTATATAATCATCATAGATTCCTTTTGGAGAATATTTTAGATAATTTGAACGTAACACATGTTAAAAATAAAAGTCAGTGGTGTTCCCGATTATTAGTGACGGAAATTAATTCAATTGAATATATAACAAATATAGTATATATTAACGTATTATATTAAGTAACAATTGTTATACGGGCGGCGGTGCTCACCTTGGCGTTTGATTGAGACGAGTTGTTTTGACAAAAAAAAAATGAATGAACTTTTGGCAGCCGCTCAAACTCCGGCGTTCTTGCCTACTCCACGAGTATATATATAACAAGTTGATTACTAGGATAATTTGTTTTGCAGTGGAGAAAACATGGGCTTTAGCTTAGCTTCTACGGAGTATATTCTATTTATAGCTAAGTTTTCTTAATGCTTAAGAATTGGGAGAAATGATGAGGTTACACGTGGCTATTCAAAGGATAAGTTAATGTCCTTAATTTGCCACTTACCCTACATGTCAAGCTTAAAGATTAGGATAG